TTGAACACCCTCCCTTTAATCCCCTGACTGCTCGTGAGGAAAGTGGATGGCGGGTAGGGATGACAACATTTCCTGCTATTTTTCATCGGCAAAGTTTTGAATGAAATCTGACTTGATGATTGAAGTGCGAGCTCGGCTCTGAAAGCCACGGGCCCACGAGTCATTTAACATGATTTCACAGCCAAAGACCTCAGTTACATCACTCATCTTTCATGGCTGCTGCGGTCCAATTTTCTATAGCCTTTCTGGTAAAACTGGAGGAAAAAAAAAAGAAAAAAAAAAGCTTCCAACTTGAGAAACGTGAGCACTTCAGGGTCATTAGGAGTTTTCTGGGTGTGATATCAGCATTGCGATATCCTGCAGATCAGACTTTGAAGTCTCAGGCAGACGGACAGTATCTGATCTGACAACATGTTTTACCCACTTTCTCCATGGACATGAATCCTGAATAAGACCATCACTCATTTATCTGCCACTATTCATTCATAAGATTTGACACATCAAGCATGCCTACACTTTTATTTACAAAATTGAATTTTACAGTGGCAAATGTGGACAAAAGATGTGACCTACTTTGAGCTTCATGTGTGGATGTTTAATGTCGTCAGACAACACTGAATCACAACCAGCAGAAACAGAAGAATGACATTTGCATAACTCTTAAAAAGAGCTGTAGCTGAGCTGCAGAGGAAGTCTGACACACCCAGACATCTGAAGCTCAGGGAACTCCAGATAAACACACACCCACACAGATGCAAATGCAAACTACCCCCATCAGCACATTAGGAAACTTCCACACAACATGAAGATGCTTCTGGAAAACAAGCCTAACAGCATGAATAACTCATGATTATAAATTTTGGTTCACACACACGTGAGGCCTTTTGTTGAGTGGAGTTTTAACTCGTACAAATGTTCCTCAGAGTACAGAAACAGTTGCAATGGTAGAATTACACTTCAGCATCTTTTTTTTTTCAAGCTAAGCAAGAAGTTTACAACCAAAAATGGTCAAATTAGAAGCTTTCAAATGTTACCAATCACTTTTTTAACAAATTCAGTGTTAGCATGCTAATATTAGCATGATAGCATACTAAATAATCTACATACATGGTTTCCATGCTAACAGTAAGAATATTGTGTGCATTTTAAAATGCTAATCTTCCATGCTAAAGATGGGGACATGGAATAGTGCTAACATGCTAATATTAGCATTTAGCTCCCAGATTCTTGTGCTTCTCAGGCACAGTTCCTCATTTTCAAACTTGGCTAAAACATTATGGCTTTTCCTCTTTTTTTAATTCATAAAATGTCCGACAAAGAAATGATATGTACTAGCCTGTCTAAAATAAAAAAAATACATTTTTCAGATATTTTATGTGCAAATGAGTTTCTACTGTAACGTCCATCAGAACCTGAATACTATTATATTATATACATAAAAAAAACCATCCCCAGCTGAAGACAGGCTGAACTGTGTCTGAGCTGCAGCTCCAGAACCCTAAACAATAGTTTGAGTTCCTACAGTGTTAGTGTTGGTTTGGGACTCGGGGCTGTAGCAGATATATACAAAAAAGAGCAGGTGTGTGGGTGGTGGGTTAATGGCTCCTCTGTGCTCATGTGAAGATAACAATATCCAACAATATAAAAGAAAAGGAGATCCTGAACGTTATTTCAGCTTCTGGGAGGAGGCTAAATGGACTTTATTCATGTTTACCCTCCAGTGCACCCTGGGTAATGACATCCCTGGAAATGAATCAGGCTTCAGGGAATAAATGCAGTCAGCAGAGGGCCCTCACATATACAGTGAAATACATGTGTGTGTGTGTGTGTGTGTGTGTGTGTGTGTGTGTGTGTGTGTAGAGGAGAGGGAGATTTATGTGTGTGAGCTGTGTGTGTGTGCATTTATTCGGAGAGTGGAGGAGAGGTGGGTGAACTGGTCGCTGCAGGTATCCTCTCTGGAATAGTGATGAAGGAGAAACTGAAGAGGCTGGAGACGTGTGCGCACATGAACACTGGCTGTTTGTTGTGACACGTAGCAGCTACTTCTTGGAAGTGTGTGTGTGTGTGTGTGTGTGTGTGTGTGTGTGTGTGTGTGTGTGTGTGTGTGTGTGTGTTATGAACATGCTCAGACCTCTCCACTCATGTTATTTATTTTAACACTCGGCCGTTGAACCGACTCTCCTGAGGAGAGAATGTGCAAAAACAAAACTCACATTTTATCTCATGTCGATGTGACATCACAGCTCTCACTGTTGATGATGAAACCATGATGATGATGATGATGATGATGATGATGATAAAATAAAAACATCTAACAGTTGACTGTGAGACAAAAACACAGCACCCATGTTGTTTTTTGTTAGACTCTGCCATCTAGTGGATGAAAGTAGGAGCTACAACATTAGTGCCACAGTCTGTCTCATGTTTATGATAAAGGCTCAGTCAGTGTGTTTTTAATGTGAAGCACATGTATATACACACACACACACACACACACACACACACACACGACTATGGGGTACTTGACTTTATCTTGATTTATACACAGAAATATTCTTTGGTATTTACTCCACTGACAGCTTCAGTTACTACTTCACTGTCAGATTAAGATTTTACATGTAAAACATGGACGAAACATGATGATACAGAGGTGTTGAAATCAGCTGTACTTTGACAACACGTGTGTACATACAGTAACAGTCTTGTCAAGAAGCTTTTAAGTGTGTGTGTGTGTGTGTGTGTGTGTGTGTGTGTGTCATTTAGTCCTGGTTGTTGTAATGATAAACTGCACATTAATTATAGTTACAGTGTTTATTCTGTTTATTAAAACCCCAATAAACAACTTTAAATATTCTGATATAATAATATGAATAAGTAGCTGTTTGTAATTTCAAGGGGTCTACGTCTGGACAGGTTATGAGACAAGAGACATGTAAAAGCCCCCCCCCCCAGACTGAATGAGTCTCTGGTTATTTAGCATCTCTATGTGAACACTTTGACCTGGAACTTACATCCGTCTCAGGTGATCTGAGCACAGCTCTGAGTTCAGGTGTGAACGCACCCGAGACACATCGAGATCCAGAGCGTTTTTATGTCTTTGCCTGACAAAAGAACCAAAACTGAAAATACTGTACGTGCACTTTTAAAAAGCCTGGTCCTGGATCTGATCTCATGTTGCTCACAAGGTGGTGCTAGAGTTTCATCTTTCTGAAAACACTGTTGGTGAAAGGCCTGAGGTCTGACACTGATCATGTGCTGTGACGTTTGGAAAATCCCATGAAGACATCAACATCAACAACAACAACAACAACAACAACAACAACACAGAGGTAGCCACAGCTGATCTGGACACACGTGTGAACAGGTGATTGTCGTGTCATGAAGCCAGTTCATCACTGTCAAACTGCTGCAGCCGTGTTGACTGAGGCCAGAGAGACACACTGATACAGCAGCTGATTAATGCCTCTTGTTTAGGAGTGAGATGCTCAGCCATCACATATGGGGGTAATGTTGAAGCGTCCACATACTTCTGGCCAGGTGTTTAGTTTCCTGTGTTTGATGTGACCCCTGGTCTCACCACAGTGTACTGCCTCTACTGCACAGATCTGCACATTTATTACACTGCTGCTTATTTTATCTTTTATCCTGAGTCTTTTACATTTTATAACAGTTTTATTCTAGTTGAATTAAACTGTCTTCAGCCTGACTTCCTCTCCTGTGTGCACCGCGTTGTCAACATCATCTGTAGATCAGAAACTTTACATCAGAACGTCGCTTCTTCTGGTTTTAACCTCATTGATATTGAACATTTTGTTCTCTGACACTTCCACTGGGAGTTATGGATTTCATGGCCACATTTTTATGATCCACTAATTATTTTAATTCTATTATACAACTTACAGTGCACACAGCAACAGTAATGTTTTCTATTGTATTTATATTTACTGTATATAGTGTAAAGTATTTCTAGTCTCCACAGAGTGTCAGTGTGAATCTTTGTTGCTGCTGCTTCCTGTCATACACAGTAATTAACTGAAACTATTTATACACGTTGACACTCGCTCTCAAAGTCGAATGAAGCACAGTGAAGCAAAACATCTGGAGTTATAGCTGATAGATAGTAAAACAGCTGGATTGACGCTGATCTGGAGGCTGTGGATCAGTTTGAGTCGTTCTGACTTTCCTTTAACTTCAGGATGAAGATCAATGTTCATTATTACAGTTTCTCTTTTGTTAATTATAATGTGGGATTCATGAAGTACTTTATATTAAATTTCAAGACATGAACTGAAGAATCACTGTAGTTGTGTTTAAATGAGAAGTGACACGTTTAAGATCAGTCACAGGGCGGGTTTGGCTGAACAGGGAAGTAAAAAAGTCTGTGTTCGTTTTAGTCTCAACACCCCCCCCCCCCCCCCCCCCAAAGATTTCTCTATAAAAAGCATCAACACATTTATTCTGCTAAATTTATTAAATGTCAACTTCAATCATCCTGAGTTCATGATCAGAGCTGAGGTCCTTCATGTTCTTGCACATCTGTACCAGAAGGTGGCGCAGCTGGATCAGCGTGCACACAGGCGAGAATACAAACGCACTTTATTATTATTATTATTATTATTATTATTATGAAACTACAACACACTCTCAATATAAACAAGTTTGCATTTCATTATAAGTTTCATTTGTTTATTTATCTTTTGTTAGTTTTTTATTTCTGACACAAACTCAGAAAATAAAAAACACTTTTTACAATTTTTATTGTTTATATTTTATTTTAATCTCTATAACTTGTTGTTCTGTGAAGGAGTTTGTGGTTGTGGTGTTTGTGTGTCCATAGGAACCGGATCACTACAGCAGCTCGTGCAGACGCTCGCTGCCTCATTGGCACATGTCCCGGCGGGGCGGAGCGTAGAGGGGGCGGGGTGGAGGAGGAGGAGGAGGGGGGGTGGCTCTTGTTTTGCGGTCTTGTTTTCTCAGCCTCACAACAGTGCAGCTGCAGAGACCGTCACGAGAGGAGCGTCCGACACGAACCGGGGGAGGAAAGAAGGAAAAGCGAGTCGGTGGATGATTCTGCGTGGACCTTGATTTGTCCCCGGGACGCAGCCAGAATCCCGAGAGCTTGATCCGGTTCTGTGATTCTGCAGAGGACCGGGTCACCGCAGAGAGGATTTGTCGAGGCGGGCGAAAGGGTTTGTGATCACCGGTGTCCTCTCAGCGCGGTCCCGGGAGAAGCGTTTTGACCGTGGAGCTTCCTCGTCGCCAAATGGGTGTGAACGCGTGAGGAGAATACTAATGAACGGCGCGCTGCGTCCTGCTGAGGCGCACCGCGTCCCCCGCTGCAGCTGAGGGCCACAGCACCACAGCTGAGCCGATCCGTCATCCACAGCGACCTGAGGAATCTTACACATGAGCTTCGACCCTCCAGAAGCTGCTGACAAATAAAACAAACAGCGGAAAAAAAAGACGCCAGGATGGGAAACAGCTTCTCCAACATCTCCGCCTTCCAGTCCCTCCACATCGTCATGCTGGGTCTGGACTCCGCGGGGAAGACCACGGTCCTGTACAGACTCAAATTCAACGAATTCGTCAACACGGTCCCGACGATCGGCTTCAACACGGAGAAGATCAAGCTGAGTAACGGCACCGCGAAGGGCATCAGCTGCCACTTCTGGGACGTGGGGGGCCAGGAGAAGCTGAGGCCCCTGTGGAAGTCCTACAGCCGGTGCACGGACGGCATCATCTACGTCGTGGACTCCGTGGACGTGGACAGGCTCGAGGAGGCCAAGACCGAGCTGCACAAAGTCACCAAGTTCGCGGAGAACCAGGGCACGCCGCTGCTGGTCATCGCCAACAAGCAGGACCTGCCCAAGTCCCTTCCGGTGGCGGACATCGAGAAGCAGCTGGCCCTGCACGAGCTCACCCCCTCCACCACCTACCACATCCAGCCCGCGTGCGCTATCATAGGCGAGGGGCTCCACGAGGGCATGGACAAGCTGTACGAGATGATCGTAAAGAGGAGGAAATCCTTAAAGCAGAAGAAGAAGCGGTAACTGGAGCCGGTCCTGCGGACGAGGCTGTAGTCCGGGTTCTGCCCTGGTGGCGTGGCCCCTGCAGGTTCACGCGCTGCAGTGATTTTTGTTTTTACATCCTCCGTTTGGATTAAAGCTGTGAAGTCCTGCTGGATGATGCTTTTGCACACAGGAGGCTGCAGGAGATACAAGACTGAATTAAAAGGTTTAACCAAAAAAAAAAGAAAAGAAAAAGAGACAGAGGAGAAACTTGAACTTGTGTTCAGGAGAAACAGGCGGGCCTGTTCATCTGCTGCTTTACCGCTGACTGGAGGAGAACAAGCTCCTGTGCTGAGGACTTTTATGGACCGATATGTTTTTTATTTCCATCCACACACACACACACACACACACACACACACTGTGGAGACACAGGTTTGATTTTGCACGTGGCTCGGGGGTCACATGTTCCCCCTGCTCTTTGTTTTTTTGGGGGAAACCAGATCTCACTGCAGCAAAATCCCCCAGAATCCGGAGATGTAGCTGCCCAGATGTTTCAGTCGGACATCTCCGGATTCTTGGGGGTTCTGTTGCAGTCAGTCATCTGTAGTATCAGTCTGACGGTTCTGGGTGTCCTGCAGACTGTTTCTCTCCTGGAGCATTGAAGTAGCCTTTCCTCTGTGTGGTGGGCTGAGGACAAGAGCGTCCACTACTTTGCACTTTTCATTTCCTAACAAACAGTAGAGAACTACACTGTATTAACAGAGGAGCAGATCCAGGTGGTTTATGTACTAAGAAAAAGCAGAATTGAAGTATTTTTGAATATTAAAAAGATTTAAAAATCCATGATTTGACTGTTGTTCATTTACTGTGTGGTTCATCCAGACCTGCTCTCAGGTGTGGGGGTCACAGAGGTCAGAGGTCACATGGGGTTCCTTTGCCTCAGCTGCAGTTTTCCCGTCTTGATCTTCCTCCGGTGAAGTGAACGCAGAGGAGCTCGTTTGTGAAATTTATAGATCTGCATTGCAGCGCCGCGTGTTCTGCTCCACGGCAGCAGGAACCAGAGCTCGGACCGGACCGGCGGCGTGTTCGGCGTCAGTCCTGAGGAGCGTCGACTGTCACGCAACGCTTTCTCATTCATGTAGGAACTTATTTTGGACAAAGATCACAGTTCAGTCAGAGCTGCTGGATGATTCTGCTTGGGTAAATGTTCAGTCTGTGCACATGAATTAGCAAACATATTAGTGTTTGTGTTATTGATTAATCCGCCTGTTATTTTCTCCTTTAAAAGTTTTATTGGATTGATCCAAAAAAATGTCAGAAAGGAGTGAAACTGCACGTCACAGTTTCCTCTAAAACCCATAAACACGTTTCAGCATCTGTGTCCGAATCCAAAGAGAAGTCTTAAAGAAACCAGCAGATATTCACGTCCCAGCAGCTGAAACCAGATCCACAAGTTTTCTGGACATTCGTTATTAATCAAGTGAATGAAATAATTTTTGACCAATATTCACACACTGATCTGATCTGTGCATCTCCCCTGTCACAGGAGACACTTACTTTTTCTTTAGATTCTTTAAACCACATCTGACTAAAATACTTCTGTACTTCTGCTGAAGTTTTACTCCGTGTTGATACTTTTAAAAGAGACAAAGAATCTTTTGTATCTGAGGGTTGTACATTCTTGTCATGCGACTAAAATCTCTGAATCACCACGACTGGCCTCTGCAGAGCGACGACCTCATCACATAATAAACACCACACTTTTATCTTAATGGTTGAACAGAAAAATGAGCAGTTGTTCAGTGAGTGAGCTGAAACACACGGAGGACAGTTTGCTTCTTCCTGTACAGACTTTACCTGTGACTGAATCATCAGATTGGTGCTAGTGTTACCTGGATGTCTGAATGTGATCGGTTTCTAAACTCTCAGAACTGGTTGTTCAAGCTCATTTCCACTAAGAAAAGAAACTGTACAGATAATTAAATGACGCACAGAGGAACTGTGACAAGTTTTTCTGTTGAGCCTGTTCAAATATAAAAACATTCACCAACTGTTTCCATAATGTTTCAGTTTTCAGAGATAAAACTGCTGTGGTTGGTAAATCTGAACAGATGCATTCAGTAAACTGCAACTACAGCAGCCAGGAAACTCAAAAACACGAGTTAAAATAAATGAGTACCACAGAGTAATCTGGAGGCTACAGAGCAGCTAATGAAGCTGTCATAATAAAACTTTACAAAATGCTCCTCGTCATCTTAATGAGGTGAAACCTGTCGGTGTAATTAAGACGCTGGATGATGCTGCCAGTTACGTGTGGCGGCGGTCCAGTGTAAGTCTTGTTTTTAGCCACATTAGCTCGGGGAAGTGTTGGTCAGTTTAATCCAGAGTGAAATAACTATTGGTTGGGTTGTGATGGCATCTTGTACATTATATATATATTCATGGTCTCCAGAGGATGAATCCTAATGACTTTGTTGAATCCTACAACAACTTTTCATCGGGTCAACATTTTAAAATCCTGAGCTAAGATAGCGAACATGCTAAAGCTGCTATAAACCAACATGCTAGCACAGCTGCTAGCACGGCTGCAGACGCCCGTTTCACATTGAGGCAGTTCACCCTGTAAATGTGAATACATCGGCACTTTATCTGTTTCAGGCTTAAAATAAACATTACTACTTTAGCCAGGAGCGGGAGATGTTGCCTGGTAACAGCTGAAACTAAAAACCTTACAAACGAGGATTAATGACATAATGATGTGTGAGGTTATCTAAAAATAATGCACGACCCTCCAAGCCAATCAGAATCCAGTTTCCCCCGTGGCTGACGTGTCATCACCGGTACATGAAATGACATTAATCGTCTCGTTTCTACAGATTTTGAATCCATGTTGAAACACGGCAACAGGAAAAACATTTCATTTCATTTCAACAGGTTTAGGCGGGAACACCGACATGTGCCATTTACATGCTTTTTCAAACTGTAGTGTTTAAAGTCACAGACAAAAAAAAACACAAAGGCAACTTCCTGCTTGTTTGATGCTCTTTAATGACAAGAGGCTCAGAAAAAACAGAGTGCGGTTTCTATCTCTCTCAAAAAAAATAAAAGAAACGGCCCTGTCATCTCAGGAATACCCGTCGCCATGGCAACAGAACCAACCCAGTCCAGCCTCAGTGATTTAAGAAAAACAAGATTTCCCCTCCTCGCAGTTTGTCTGCAGTGTTAACGTTTGTGTTTACACTGACAACAAGTCACAAAGAATAAAATGTCTCCATCCCCCCCGACTCGCTCCTTCCTGTTCATCCACATATTCTGTGTCGTCTTGTTGCGGCTCTTTGAAACTAAATGATGTTGACACTGTAAAATATTAAAAACAAAGCCATGATGCATTATATCTTATAAGCCATTCCCCCTGAATCTGCCCTGACATATTTGTCTTCTTTGAAAATTCAGGGTTTTGATTTATTAAACTAAACTAGTGTAAGTTCTGTGCAAGGGCGGGAACAAAGCAACAACACAAATAAAACATAAGAAAAGTGGTTCAGAGAAATGCTTCTGCGTACGAACCCTCCTGAAATCATTTTTACCTTCCTGATAATGATGTTTGCATCTTTACTACAAACAATGTTTTTGACAATGTTCAATTCAAGTGTCTTTTTAAGAAAAGAAAAGAAAAGAAAAAACAACCTAAAACAGAAGTTGCCAGTGTCTTTAGGCCTGGGGTTGTGTTTGGCCTGTATTTCACTGAGGCTGCAAACAGCTCCACCAGCCTTCACCAACACAGAGCTGCAGGGATGACGTGTTTTTACAGTCCAACCTTGAAGTTGGCGTCACCCCGGTTCCTTCCACAAATAGCTGATGGGATTTTTACATTGACTTGTGGATGATTGCAGAAAATAAAGTTAATGATCCTGACAGGTTTAGTTCAGTGGGACCGTCTTCACTAATGAACTCCACTTTATGATGTTTGAAGCCTAAATACAATCAGCAGAAGTAAAAAGCTAATGTTAGGCTGTAAACCAATGACACCACGGTCACATGACTTCAACGTCACCACCGCTAAACTACAACTTGTAGTGTGATTCAGCTCTGACCTCTTCTAACAGTTAGTAACAGTTCGTATAAACACAGCGAGGCTGGAAAGGTGGACCTGTGAGTAGATCAGTTTCATGTTCAACATGACGACGTTTAACGACCCCGACAACCTCTGCAGTCTCATTTAGACACTCGTTAGCAACCGAGACGTGAAAGAACAGACTTATTCCAGTCATCTGACCAAAAACAGACTTGAGGAGGAGGGAAGAGGAGGAGCTAAAGTGATGCGCAGGGCTGACTGTCTGTGGCCTGAGAGGCAAAACTCAGGGTGAAACCCACTTCTCTCCGTTCCAGCTTTAACTTGCCACTAACACGGACTGTTGTTAGAGATTTATCCATTAGTTAATCATTACTCAGAGTTTATCTTCAGTTTCAGTTTGTTTAACCTGCGTCAGGAGTTTAGCTGAAGTTCAAAAAGGTTGTATGTGGAAAGGTCAGCACACAGCTGATGAACTGGAAGCGTGTTACAAACCTGACTTTGTGTGAACATGTTTCTTTTAAAGCAAGGTCAGACAGGATGCCAGGACAGACCCTGCTGTGCCCCTGCAGCGCAGCAACTGCAGCTTCTCTTCATTTGACCCATTTGTCAGTTTGAAACATGCTGAAGCTGCTGCTCCAAAAACCTCCCAGGGCCGCATGTGTACAGCAGTTAGCTGCACGAGTGGCCTATAAAAACCCACGGCCTTCAAACACACTGGCCTCCAGAGAGACCCGTCCTTGTTTATGTTGAAGGAGCATTTTCAGTGTCTCCAGGAACCAGAGCTGACTTCTGTCAACTGAACACAGCAGCTGTGACTTCAGGACCCGCAGCACAAAGAGGAAACCAACGAGTCCTGCAGAGGAAAATATTGTTTCTCGTTGGCAAAACTGCAAAAAACATTTATATCATAAAAGATATCGCAGCAGGAAACATCGTGATATTCAATATTATCGAATATTGGCCCGAGACTAATGACCTCCCAACACTATGATGACGATTTTGTTGATAGACGACATTTCCTTTGTCAGTTTAAACAATTAAAGTTGCCAGAGAGACTTAGGATTCCTCCTTTTCTTCTGTGTTTTCAGGCGTGTTTTTATTTGTCAACGTCACAGAAAATGTTACGTTTTCAAACTCTGTCCCAGCTGCTGTAAAAAAGTAAGAAAATAAAAGCCGTTATTTGATGTGCTTTGCTTTCGGCTGCGGAGAAGTGAGACGGCTAATGTTGCTAGCTTGATAGCCTCCCGTGCAACAAGTCAAACTTACTCAGCCACTGACTCAAACTAATGTTGGACTGTTACTGGAAACAAGAGGGAACAAGTGTTGTGCCGTTTTGGAAACAGCCACACTGACCTTTGACCTTTGGACGAGGTTTGAAGGTGTTCAGATTGAAGGTTAGCTGTAGCTTGTGTTGAGGTCGGGTAATTCTTTCCAGTGGACAATAATAATGAATAATAATAATAATAATAATAATAATAATAATAAGTCCGTCCCTCCAGGTGTTCGTGGGTTTTTTGAGATTGCAGCTCAAATACCTGATTTTCTTAAACAATTTTTTAAATGTTTTTTTTTCCCCACAATGAAACTGTGGGAGAAACAAGCGATGATGCTCCTCTGCTCCGTCTTATGAATTTACAACAGAGCTTGGGCAGAATTCACAGGGATTGGTTGAATTCTCACTAATTATTGTCATCGCCACGTCACGACCTTCTGGAGCGACTGA